CGACCTAATACTTGTTTTTTTCTATTCTAATCGCATTTGTGATACCTTTGGCCTAGTTGATCGATGCGATTGTCCTCGGTATCGTTCCTTCAATTGAGCCAACCGTACTGGGAGTTCCTTGTGCTTGGCCTTGTCTCTTTTGATTGTCTCTGGTATCTTGTACAATGTATTATGATGAGCACGTCAAGAATATTTGCATGACGTCTCTCGTCGATGGCAGCGATCCTTAGAATGAAGAGTGTTGAGACAGTTGCGGCATCGTATCCTTTGTTCTCTTGCTCCAACATCCTTGCATGCATTCAAATGCATTGCATGCAAGGATGTTGGAGCAAGAGAAAAAGCAAGCAACAAGCATTGCTCATCCTTTTTTGGTTCCATCATCGGGTGATCTTCAGGGATCATGTCAATATCCATCTGATAATCGTCTTTAGTCAAGGTCGAGCAGGTCTTCGACTGTTTCCGATGGTGGTTCTCTAAACGTTTCCTTCGCATCGGCGGATATGACTGCTTCAGATGCCGATCTTCGAATCCTTCACTCTGTATGTGGAGATCCGTTTTGGTCGTTCTCCTTGCTGTCGTTCCTGCTTTGAAGAGAATCTTTGAATTGGCGAAGGCTTCCATCTTGCTGACTAGTTGCGTGACTTACATCCTGCTTTGAGATCTCTTATTCAAGGTCTGCCATACTGGCTTCCATGATCCTCTGGAGACCTGCGATGCTCGCTTCCATACTTTATTGCAATCCGGCGATAGCTTCCTCAGGCTCCGTGATTCCACCATTGTGAACTTCATCTCTAGTTTGGATATCAGCGTGCTTCATTTCGTTTTCCGTGCACTTCAGAATCTCATCGAGAAAGACGATCTCCTTACGGGCGTAGTCACTGATTAAATCGGATCTATCGAGATTCCCTGAACGTCATCATAGAACCAATTTCGGGATTCTCCAGTTGCTGTTTCTGCCAGAATCAGGAATTTATAGGTCTCATGTGACATCGCCAACGCTTCTGCTGCGCTACGTAGGCGTTCTCTCGTATGACTCGTCCTTAGCCATATATTCTCCACCAATCCTCTGTAGAGGGTGGCATCAGTGGTTCAGTGGTAGGATGCTCGTCTGCCACGTGGGCGGCCCGGATTCGCTTCCCGGCCGATGTACCATAAAATGAATGTCGAAAGCCACGCAGTACAGTTCGGCACCTCAAACTTGGGTAATTAAACGAATAGAAAGTATTTATGAAGTGAAAAATGCCAAGAAAATAATCCTAAGATGAAAAGTGCAAAAGTTAGATAAAAGATCACAGTGACATGAATAATATGTTAAGAAGTGAGTCTAACTAAAATACAAAACTACTGTATGAGAGAAAAGGATGATCTGGAGGAAAAAAAATGCACCTCTATCCTTCGTATTCTGTGGACGTGTCAATGAACCACCCGGCCAGCTTTTATGCTGTTGCTTCTTTGATGATTTTCGCCGAATATCAACATTTTAAGCCAAAATGGACGCGAAAATAAATACTAGGGCGCTGATAAAAGCGGATGTTTGTAGAAAAGAAAACATAGTCATGGGATATACAACGTGGGCGCTGTTATAAGATTAAAAGGAATTTTGCAAAAGAGAAATCAGGCGAAT